ACATATAAATTGAACATATGTCACCTCGACCGCCCCCCGCGGCCGGGGGCCTCCGGGCACCCACTCTTGACTGTCTGTCCTCGGAATGCGTTTTTTGGGAATATTATATGAATACATGGCCATGGCACTTCGGAAAGGTCCATTCCATGCGGACCGATCCAGAGCGGTCGAACCCCCTTTGAAGATTTCGACGGTGATGAGAGGGATATATCTTCGTAGTGGTTTCCGTGCCAGACAGTCAACGGGGCCGTATCGCTGCCACCCTCAATATGTAAATATGTGTATCTTATAACCCCTCCATTCCTCGCGCGTTCAGTGTGACTTGTACTTATTATCCTCTAGTAAACCAATGGAGTTCCACATCCCCAGGGGACGGACTTATAAGTCGATGGGGAATTCAATTCGGATCAACCCTGCCATGGCCGTTTCAAAAACGCCTATTAGTGGGATTTTGTTGAAAGAGTCGTGGGACACGACTTGCATATGCCGTACGAAGTGCCGGACAGTAATAATCCCCCAAAATGTCGCGGAGGAGCTTCTCGCCCGCGTTGCTGCCAACACACGCTGCAAATCCATCATAAACTGGTAAATCCGCTTTTTCTTGTGTACGTGTACCTTAGGTGGCGACGGATACAACGCAAACATCAACGTCCCACGCGTTTTCCAGTCGACACATAAGACAACTCGCAACAGGTCTCCACCACCTCACAACGTGGAAGGAGTTAGTGAGTTGATATCCGAATTGAGAATGGCTAGGACACGCAATAATCTTACGAACACCGGCAGGGGATGAATTGCAGCCTGCCTACCCGCCATGAAAATGAACGGATGGTAGCCTGATCAACCTCTCAAAAGGAGAGGCTAGTTGGACAAATATAGCATCCTCCCTGACGCAACAAATCGAAATCGATACTTCCCTCTGAATACAGGATTCGTCTGGAAGTCCGCCGGGCCAAGGCCGTACACAAGCTCTGGTTGGAAGGTAGACCTCAACGGGACGAGTCACCCCGAAATACGCGAGGCCAATGAACGAAGAAGAATCAAGACGTAGGGGAACATGTCGAAACAGTTGCTTCTCCGTACTGGTCATGTGGCTGAGGCAGGGGTGCATAGATTGTGGCTGGTGAATCCCAAAGGGTGTACGTTGTACGAAGGAGTTCATTGGACATGGTTCGGCAAACAGTTGGACGCGTGATAAGGACATTCATTAGAGCGAGGTTCAATCTTGTCCGAAGATTGGATACGTGGCAGGGATATGAGCAGCTATTGAGAACCTGATGCCTACATATTCGTAACTTGCTGCACCACGTATGTGGTTCGATGGGAACGGGAACGAGGAAAAGGAGACAAATGAACCCCCGTCTGCGCCTCGCATACTCGCCTGTGGGACGTTCCAGCACCCCCTGGCACAGCTGAGAGCGAAAGGTAATTAATTAGTAAACATGCGGTGACTCAGCAGACCCCTAACCCTGCGATATGCCAAGTGGTTTATCAGATGTTTGTTCGTCGGTTCGGTGAGATGGGGTCGCGTGGTTCAGCTGACAGCTGACCTACACGTACCTTAATTACCTAGGTACCTTAGTACACATGGTACCTTAATTATCGTCGATCTGGGCTCTCCCACGGCAAGCGGGGTGGGGCCGCAAGCTCCCTCCCGCGCTTGATTGGAAACGTAGCGAGCACCGAGCGGGTTGCTTAGTCGTGGTGATACCGAGGAATCCGGATGAGATACCCAACTCATCAAGCCCACGCTTCTTTCACCCTGTTAGTTACATGCAACACATACCATTTCTCAGCTTGCTATGACAAAATCCACACGAAGTAGGCCAATCTTACAAATTGTGTCGGCACATTCGTCTCTGGCTAAGACAAGCGTTTTCAGCCCTATGACGTGTGCGCAAAAACTCCTCACCGGCTTCGCCGCTGTCCACCCCCCCCAATCACCAAAAAAAAAAAAAAAGCATCCCAGAGCGGCGTTGCCGCATGAGCAAAACCGCCGCGCTAATACGTTCTGATCACTCAACCATTACCATCGCGGAACACGCCCCGACTGCTTTCGGGCACTGCACAAACCCAAAACAGCGGTCCAATCCAATGCAGCCGGGAAAACTGCCGTGACCTTTGCGGCCTCAATCGGGGTAGGCAAACGTCACGGGGGAGGGCGATGCCGAGGGGCTCGGTCCACGGAAGGAATTGTCCCGGAGAGTATGTCATCTAAATGTATGGATACACACAACGCTGGTTCACGATGTTATCCGAGGAACTACGGAGTACATGTAGTATGCGACCCAGTCAAGGTGCAATGTCATCACAATGGCTTCGTCGCATCGATTATGTGGAAGGCAACGCGGCACTGTTCCATGATTTCTTCACGAGCATGAAGAGGCGCAGCTTCGCGGACGAACCCCGGCCCTCCTTTTGGTCGTGTTAGCCGTCTGTTGCGCCTTACGGCATTTTCGTGGCCCGGCTTATTACTTGCCAGCGCCCTCTCGCGAAAATTTGAATGAAACTGGGGCGGTCGCCTACTGCACCCGCACCCCTTATTGTCTGGGTTGCACCTGCCACCACCATGGTCGCGACGATAGCATCCCCCTTTCGTTGCTGCACAACCATCACTTCGACTTCCCTCGGGCCGCGAACGTGCTAATTTCGTTTCGCATTGGAATACCAAATAATAAGATGACAGGAGAGTTGCCGAATTTGCTTCATACAACAAAGCAGAGGAGGGGCCAACGGCGGCTAACCTACTCAATGCCGGCGTGGTTGGCTTCAATTGGACAGGGATAGGTACTGGGAAGCGCGCCTGTACGTTTCACCAACCACCAACCGCAACATCACCAAGCGCCTAGTCATACGTATCATGTTAATGATGTATTATCCAACGCGTCTGCCAGCCAACAGACCTCCGTTGTCTGTAACATTACCATGACGACGAAGCCCGACTTTCCTCTTAACCCCAAGTTCGCGACCCGTATCTTCTCTTTGAACCCCCTCCCTCCGCATGGAAGACTGTAGCTGCCATACAGCGTCAAATTGGCCAGTCTTCATCTCGAACGCAACTATCAACGCGCGCCTAGGGTGTCAGGGAAAATGCTTTTAGAAAAGGACGAGTAGAGGTCGCGACATTCGGCCGCTAGCAGACAACCCTGGAACAACGTAATCCCAGCGTCCGGCCTCTGTCAGGGGAAGTCGAAATAAACCCAACAGTGTGCGAAGCAGCGGCAACCATCAAACAGTCATACAGCGGCGTAATTACCCCAACACAGTCCGTCCACCCGGGATGTCACAATTAGAACCCAAGGTAGTCTCCAACCCTCCATGCCGTGGCTAAGGAACATCCGATGGATCGGAGATAATTTCTAGGGCAAGCGACCCTGAAGACAGAAGAAAATCGGAGATACGATACGGAAGTGTCAGCTTGAATTAGCGTCAGGCAGTTACAGAAGGTACGGAAACGTCGGTGAGGCCATACGTTTACCGGATCCGGAGACCGGCGTTTCCGCTTGACCTGTCACTACAAACTTGCCAAGTTCGGAACCAAATACCTGGGTTCTCTGTGCCATTCGCCTCGACTTGCGATAATCCCTCTCGCTGCCCATTTTTCACCGGTTCCCATCGAAAGGGGCCTCGAGCCACCGTGAATTTGGCGGCCTGAACACTACCTAATTAGAAACATAATATTTCCCCTTCATTTCTCCTGCACCTGACTGTTCTGGAAGCATTTCCCGCAAGCCATATGTCTCTTCGGTGTACTACCACTCTACCACTCTGCTGATTGTTCCGCTTTTTTGAAAAAGGCAGTAGACGGGGTAATCGATGAGAAGTCATGTAGCAGTTTTATCTCCTACAGTCGACAACGCAAGCCGCGCAATGTAAAGTCATCTCATAGCGACAGAAGTGAGTTTTAGGCCTAGAGGTAAGAGATGGGGGGATAACCGGAATGCGGACTGAGTAGCAGGCCATGAATTCGAGCCAAGAGACGCAATACCCCTACGGTCCAGGGTAGTAACCCATAATACTGCCTGCATTCACTTCTGGGTAGTTCCATCTTGAGGCGAGACCGTCCTGATGACTGCTCAGGCTGATCTGATTCCACATTCAGCTCTACCTTTCACAGACTCTCCACTTGCATCTCGGCCTCTCCACATCTTCACTACACGTACTCCGATCCGAACCCCTCACTTTGTCCTTATGTCCTAGCGTTCGCCGAAAACCGATCCGTGTAAGACCCGGGGTAGAAGAATCGCAGGGCTCAGGGTTCCTCCAGTCTTTCTTTGTCCTTGCCTAGTAGACATACAGACCCGAATATACGGTAACACAACTCATAGCGCCGAGCTTGAAATTTCCGAGACACAACTACCGGTGACGAAAGCGGGCGCACATCAAGGCGAGCCACGACTGCGAGGAAAAGCACAAAAAATGGCCTAGAAGGTGGAGAACCCCGCGACAGAGAGATCGAGTCTAAGAACCATTGGGCTGTCTGCTAAAGAAAAAACCAAATGGGGACGACAGGAGCAGAGGAGATTGAACCCCCCCTTCCTTTCCTTTTCCCGTTTTCGTCGAGGACGCGACAGATGTGCCATGTCTCACTCCGGTAAGTCCCATCCCCGTTATTTTACCCTTATACTTCTTCGACCATCTCGACGAGAAGCGGACATTACCAGATAGTCGGGCCCAGATCAACTCACGTCGGCGACGAACCGTCCCCATTTTCTCCCCACTCCCTCGTCGGTATAGGCCTAGGCTGCATGGCATCACGATGATCAGCGGTTCACCTTCGTCCGTTTCCGGACTGGTTTGAGCCTAAAATGGAGACAGAGACGCAAAAAGTTGACAACACACCGCTGCCTACACAGAGACTAGATCTTTATAGGGCCATACCACAAAGGACCACCTTAGGAAGCCAGTGTCTCGGAAGAGAGGGACAGATCGCCACTGTGGGTGGGCATGGCGATGGAGCTTGCCGTTGCCATGTGGCCGCCACACATAGCCTGCCGTGACCAGACCGAGTTGTTGGGCCAGGGACGGACGAGGTAGGCTTAGCGTCATCGGAGCAGGAGCATGGAGAAGTCGGGCCATCGCAAGGCTAGCAGCAGTCACCATGATGAAGGGTCAAGTAGCGTCATTTGTCTGTTTTTTCGTTCTTTTTTGGTTCATTAGCAGTATGTCCTAAACTTGCCATGGCCGTCGTCGTGTCTCATTTATCCGCTACAGACATGACAGGAATAAAATAACAAGAGAGGAAGAAAAAGAGAAGTAAACTAGCAAGCCTCCTCAGTTTGGTCATGAAAAGAGGTCAAGCTGGGCATGCGTAGACAAGTCAGAGGGGGCCGAGTGCAGGCTGCCATCTGAGGTATTCCACGTCACAATGACGGCCTTTTCCCTCGTGTATCTCCGCCGGGCCGTCGTCTGGGCGAGCTTCCAATCAACAAGTGATGGGAAGGAAATGACCACCATCATAGATGTGTGCTGACATCCGAATCTTCCACGTCGTCAAGTCGTCCTGGATGACGTTACTTCGGCGCGCGTATATGACCTCGTGGGTTATAAATATAATTCATCGTAGGCTCCTAATGGGAGACCTGTAAATGGATACGAGTGGAGAGCAAGTGAAGTCCACGGTATCCTGAAAAGCCATCGACGAAGAACACATAGTAATTTGGCCGCGGCAGGGGTAAAGACGGGGACAACGTCGTCCGGGGGCCAAGAAAGAAAAGAAAGAGAGAAAAACCCCTTGGCCGGAGTCGCATTAAGAATAACAGAAGTATATCCTGTATGCGTTGTCGCTCGTCGCTTTCTTTCTTTAACGATACCCGTTGGTCCTAGTGTTATGGTGGGCGCCAGGGTACGTCTCGAAGTACGGGTGGTTGCAAGACTGCTTGGCAGAGATGCGCCCGGCAGGGTCATAAATGAGCATCGTCTCCAGTAGATCTAGACCAACCTCGTCGAGATTCGAGCAGAGAGGCTGGCTCTCGTCACGAATCCATTTGGGGAAAGAGCTCTTGAAGTCGGGGTAAGAGGTGACGCCAGGCCAGACCTCCTCACTTGGCGTTCCAAGAGTGCTACGTACGCGTGAGAGAGAGATCGAAAAGACAAAGAGAGCAAAAAATAAATAAAAATAAAAATGAGGGGGAAGTGGGAGAAGAGGGGGGGTGGCCTACCGGAAAATTTTGAAAATCTCGTCAATCTCCGAGTCGCCCGGGAAAAGGGGCTTGCGAGTGCACATCTCTGCGAAGATGCAGCCAACCGACCACATGTCAACGCCGGTCGAGTACTGACGACCGCCGAGCAGGATCTCTGGCGCACGGTACCACAAAGTGACAACCTCATGGGTGTAGGTCCGCAGGGGGACGCCGAAGGCGCGGGCGAGGCCGAAATCGGCGAGCTTGAGGTTGCCGTCCTTGTCGATCAGGAGGTTCTGGGGCTTCAGATCACGGTGGAGGATGCGGTGGGAGTGGCAGTAGCGGATGCCGTCGCAAAGCTGCCACATGAACTTTTGGATGACGGCCGGGCTGAGGCCGAGGCGGGAATGGATGTCGGAAGCGCCGTCGGGGAGGGGTTTGCCGCGGCCGCCGTCCTTAACCGGGAGCGCCTCCATGTACTTCTTCAGGTCGAGATCAAGGAATTCGAAGACGAGGTAGAGCTTGTGGCCATCGGCGTGGACAATGTTGAGGAGACGGACAATATTGGGGTCGCGCATCTCCTTGAGGAGGGAGATCTCTCGGATGGCGGTGGAAGGGACGCCCTCGTCCTCGGCTTCCAGACGAATCTTCTTGAGTGCTACTATGCGGCCTCCATTGGAAAGATCGCGGGCCTTGTATACGACCCCGTATGTACCTGTAGGAGAATGGAACAGAGGTTAGCAAGGGTCGATCGGTAGAGGATGGGAGACGAAACGAGGATCACGTCAAACGGTAGGTATGTTGTACCAGCATCAGCAATGGGGTGGAATGGGTAGTGAGATAAAATACTGGATGGAGAGGAAATGCAAGAAGGGATGATGGATATTACCGACCCCGCCCCGGGGGTTGTGGAGGAGTAGGATCCAAGCAAGGGAGAGGAGTGCAGTTCCATTCGCAACATACCTTCGCCGATCTTCTCAATTTTCTGGTAATTTTCCATGGTGACGACGGAGATATTGGGTCGTCGGGAGATGGAGTGAAAGGATAGGATTCGCCCAGCTCAGTACGGACAGCGTCCCACGGTGAGAGAAAGGTGAGAGTGTTTCTGGTGGTGAGGACCGGAGTCGGTCAGGATGGCTCGCTAGGGATGGAGACAATCGAGTCGGTCTAGGGTAAGACGGAAACGAGGGGCACAAAAGCGGCGGGGCCCGCGTCGGAAAGTTAGACTGTGTGGAATCGGAAATGAAAGGAGATTCGTTCACGGGAAGAAGTCCATAAGATCGAGGATGCAACCGATGTTTTGTCTAGAATGGAATCGGGGGCTGCTGTGCTGTGCTGTGCGGTTAGTAGAGGCTTGGTTGTCGATGAATGTCGGGTCTGGGTAGAGGCCAAGCAGAAGTGAGATGTCAAAACAAGACAAGGGTCAATGGTCTCGAGGCCGACAGGGCTTTTGTTGAGGGTGAATTAAAATTAAAAATAGCATGTGGCCCAGGTCTGGTTGGACACCCAGGTTGTTGTCGTGTGCTGTTGCTGTTTACTCCCTGTTTACAGTGGGATGCGGGGGGACCTATTTTTCCCCTTTTAAGGTACGAAACAAAAACAAAACCGTACCTGCCCACTTCGTACTTTCAGCGTGTTGTGACCCAACCGTGGATCGCGTACCTGATGTGTAACAGAGGGCAAGCCACAGACACGCTTTTCTTCCGATTCGACAAAATCCAATTGGTTCAAGTCGCGTACCTGACCTGGAATACAGTAGGCGTGTGGCTGACGATAGTGGGGATCATAGGCAACGGTTCATGGCGCCCAGCCACAGTGAGGGGTCAGTATTTTCCCCAACGACATCACGTAAGGACAAAGAAGAAGAAAAGAAGAAGAAAAGAAGAAGAAAAGAAGGGGAAAAAAAGGGGGGGGGGGAAAAGAAGCCATCTCAAGACCACGCGCCGTAGTTTCACCTCAGTTCGCCCCTGACCTCACGAGAACCTGAGAGATCCGATCCCGAAAGTATCCCAAAGATTCTGACTGCATCTCGTATTCTATTCAATTAATCACACAATAATACAATAATCATTCTCACTCTCGCTATGGCGACAGACATCACCCAATATGACGCACATGAGCAACCGTCAGATGAGCTCAGAACAACCTGGAAGTCATATTCGAAGACCGAACATAAGAACTTGCTAAATCATCCCGACATCGATGATCCTAGATCAGAATCTCAGAGGAAAGAATATCGTGTCGCTGGGACAATGACCGCCGAGCAAATGACCGACGCCTTTACCCATATCCACAAAGGCTCTCTTGATCTTTCTTCGGTGCAGGACACTCCCATTTTATACCACCCCTTAATACCAGGTGCGTCTCTCGTCTGCTTTTTGTCACATTATGTATATATATATTTATATTTATATTTATATTTATATTTATATTTATATTTATATTTATATTTATATTTATATTTATATTTATATTTACATTTATATTTATATTTATATTTATATTTATATACATACATACATATCGTCTTCCGCACGACGAGCTAACTGTGGTGCAATGAACGTAAAGGTCTCCTGATCGTGCCCAACCTCGTCCCTCCGCCCGTTCAGAAGTCTCTACTGTCTCTCCTGGTCCATCGTGACCTCAGCATCCCGCACCACCAAACCAATATGCACCTTCACTATGAACTACCCTATCGTCAACTTACTCAGCAAGCCGCCGAGGGCAGTGATCAGCAAGGCCTCTCATTCTTCTCCTATCCTCCTGACTCAGCCCCAATCTTCACACCCAAGGATCCTTCCGTTCACAAGCCCCTCTCCATGAAGCAGGTTCTCGACAGACGCCTCCACTGGGTCACTCTAGGAGGCCAATACGACTGGACCAATCGCGTCTACCCGGGCCAAGAGCCGCGCGCTTTCCCCTCCGACCTCGCCCGCTTCCTGGAGACACTTTTCCCTGAGACCCGTGCCGAGGCCGCCATCGTCAATTTCTACAACCCAGGCGATACCATGATGATGCACCGCGACGTCAGCGAGGAGTCTTCCAACGGCCTCATCAGTGTCAGTCTCGGCTGCGACGGCCTCTTCATGATTGCCCCCAACGAAACCATCGACGCTTCAGCTTCGGAGGACAAAGAGGCCCAGAAGGACGGGAGACACGAAGATGCTACAAAGCAAAAACCTTACCTCCTACTCCGTCTTCGCTCGGGAGACGCCATCTACATGACCCAAGACGCTCGTTTTGCCTGGCATGGCGTCCCCAAGGTTCTCAAGGGGACCTGTCCCGATTTTCTGCGTGACTGGCCCGCCGAGGAGGATGGCAGATACGAGGCTTGGAAGGGTTGGATGGCAAACAAGAGAGTCAACTTGAATGTCAGGCAGATGAAAGACTGATCGGCGGCAATGAAAAGAAGAAGAAAAAAACCCAAGGGGCAGTATTACAAGATAAGGGTAATATCGTTGGTTTTCATTCGGTTCGCATATAAACTGCCGGCAAATACCCTTTATCACGCCAACGTCTCTCTATCTTGGCTCCGCTACAGGAACCCTGTCTACCCCCGGCTATCATCGATCTTGGGTCTTCAACGCTTTGGATCAAGCCCGCTCCTTGATCAGGTCGGCGGCCTAGACCACGCATAAACATCAGCATCAAGCTCATCTTTTCTCGACAGATTGTGCTGTGCGGTAGGGTGGGGCTTGTTGGGTGAGGAACAGGGGAAGGAAATTGGGGGGGGGACACTCTTCTGCCCTGAAGAGAACGACACGACTCACCTTCTCAGCCACAGCGTAAACCGGCTGCTGAGTGTATGCGCCAGGCAGTTCAGGCTGGATACTGGCATCGATGACACTGAGCTTCTCAACGCCATAGACCAGGAGGTTCTCGTCGACGACGCCGCCAAGCTCGCGCGGCATCATGGCCGCCGTGCCGACAGGGTGGAACGTGGTCGGGCTGACCTGGGAACGGACCGCCTGGCGGAGGGCTTCGTCACTCGTCACTTGTGCGCCAGGGCTGAACTCGATGGGGCCGTACTGTGCTAGCCTCGTCTCGGTGAAGTAGCGCCGCGTAAACCGAATAAACTCGACTTGGATGTCGATGTCGGCCGGGTTGCTGAGCGCGCGGTAGTCGACCACCGGGGTCCCGAAGTAGGGGTCCGTCGCGTTGATCTCGATGGTGCCACGCGACAGAGGGTGCAGGTACACCACCGAGCCTTCCATTTGGGAACCCCGGATGAACAGGTTGTAATTGGCCGCGTCCATGGACCGCAGCGCGTCGGCCAGCCGGGACTTCTGCGCCTGGTAGCCTGCCACGACTGTCTCGTCCGCTCCTTCGTGGAGGTAGGCAGCGGGGTCCTGGGCTTCGTATGCAGCCGCGATGGCCTCAAATCGTTCGGGGGCGACGACGGGGAAGGGCAGGAAAGCAGCGGCGTTGCCAGACGCGATCATCAATGGGCCTAGCGAAGGAGAGCAACGACGACCATGTCAGTTTAAGCCGGGTTCTCATACACGGGAATACGATTCATTACCTGTGCGGTTGGCGGCAAACTCAGCTTCCGCCAGCGCCCTGAAAGTCGCGTTACTCTGCAGATCGCTCGGGTTAGGACTGAAGTTCCAGTTTGTGACTAAGGTCAAGATAATCGTCAGTCTTGAGGCTCACGCGACACCCGTAACCCCAGTCTAAGGACGGGCATTGTTCAGGTACCACTTACAGTAGAACAAAGCCTGCGCGCCCAGTGGGTGGTCCTGGAAATTGGCTCCGACACCTGGGTTGCACAATTAAGTCAGCTCAACGATAACCTCCAGTTCGGTTCCATGTTGAACGACTTAGAAGGGAAATCGCCTTCATGTCGACTACCCACCTGGAAGATCAACCAAAACGTCAATGCCGGCCCTCTCGAGGACAGGCCGGGGGCCGATGCCGCTAGCTTGCAAGACCTGCGGGGTGTAGATGGTACCGGCGGCGATGATGACTTCCTTGCGAGCGCGGACGGTCCTGGCCTGGGAGGTGTCCCTGGAGTTGGAGTCGACGTACTCGACGCCCACGGCCTCCTCGTCCTCGAAAAGGACGCGAACGACCCTGTGGCCCAGGATGGTCTCGTAGTTGTCGCGCGCGTTACCCTTACCGGCCCAGTACTCGCTCATGGCGAACGAGCGACGCACCTGGGTGGGCTCGAACGAAGCAGGGTACCAGAATGCGCCGGGGTCGCCGGCTCCGGAGTCGACGGGGAACTCGATGCCCTCAATGTCAGCGAACGCATCCATCTGGGCTCCTGTGATGAGGAGTCAGTATACGAGCGATCAACCTGGGGTTGCAAATGGGCTTCTGGGGAGGCCAGAAGAAGAAGAAGAAGAAGAAGAAAATACGTACGCATGAACGGCCAGTGGAAGGTAGGGAAAGACGCGTGAATGCCACCGTCGTCCTCTCCGCCCCAGTAGCTCGTGTCGTACTTGATGTTGAACTGCTCCACCATTTCTGGTGTAGGGGGGTGCAGCCGCCACGACTAGGTCAGGTGTTAGTTGTCCTGTCGGATCATATTTCATTGCTGGGTACATAATAAACAAAATGAAAAGACGAATAAACAAAAGAAAGAGAACCCGAAAGCCGGAAAGAAAAAAAGGAAATTAGGGAGACAGAGGACAGAGGACAGACGTACCTTGCGGAAGTACGGGAGGAGGTTGTCCCAGTTCCATTCCGAGCAGGGCCCGAAGTAAGAGCCCCAGCGGTCAATATCGGCCTTCTGGGGTCGGTGGACCTGCATACCGTTGACGCCGGACGAGCCGCCGAGCATGACGCCGCCGACGACGCCGGTGACCCGGTTCCCGAGGTTCACCTGAGGCACGGAGGGGAAGTTGAAGGACAAGGACGAGTTCTGGTAGGCTTGAGAACCGCCAGAGACGTTGTTGACCGAGCTGTCATTGCCTGTGCGAATGTTGTTCAGAAGGGAGAAGTCTTCCGGTCATGTAATGGGAAAGAAAAGGGTGCAGCCACGGAAGAAAAACAAAAGAAAACTAGAAAAACCTACCGAAGAGTCCTCGCTCGATGACGAGAACGGTGTCTAAGAACATTGATGTGAGCTTTCCTTGTTATGGTACGTGCCATGCCTGCTTGGCTTCATGGTGTCTTACACTCGCCGCTCTCAGTGAGCCTGTCGGCAACAGTCAAGCCGGCCGTGCCTCCTCCCACGATGACATAGTCGTACTCGTCCTGGACGTCCTCGACTTGCCGTAGGATCTTGGTGTGGGAACTGGACCGGGGGATGGTCATGGCTTGGACGCCGGCAGCGCCCATGGCCAGCCCGCCAAGCGCGGCGAGCAGAGCACGAGATTTGGCCATGTTCGTAACAGATCGGACTCAGGCTAGGAGTAGAAGGGTAGCGTTTCCAGGGAGGATGGAATAGCGAGGCCTGAGGGTAAAAGGCGCCTTCCGCCGGGGAAGGGGGGGGGGAGGACGGGGTAGGATATCGGCTTCATTATATACATCCGCTTGCGACTATGAGTCCCCGGCTCCTGGTCATGCTGGATGGGGCAACCAAGTCTCCCGCATCAAGGACCAAGGAACTCAGAACCAAAGGATCACTTTTCGATTTCACCCCCTTTCTCTTTCTACAGGCCCACACCCGGCAAATGTGACAAAAAACTTCTAGCTGTATCTGTAGACGGTACCCTGGTCGACCGGGGAATAATTTGCGGGAGCATATATTAACCACACAGAGGAGGAGGGGCATCAGAAGTCTGACATGCTGCCTCTACCGCCTCCCACTACCGCCTCCCACTACCGGGGCGGGGCGGAGACGGGGACCAACGGTGAACCGCGACGCGTAAGGGTTAGTATGGTACAGGTGCCGAAAAGGATGTTCGGGGAGCCGATTCCGTGAGGCGACAGGGAGAGAGGGGCCCCCGCTGCCCCGGACCAACCCCAAGAAGCGGGTGAATTCGAAGAATGGTATTATGGACGTGGGGTTTCTTATTTGAGGCCGTGATATATCCGTACGTGGGAACATGATCCGACCCCGCGATTTGATAATACGACGCCGAACAAGGTAGATTATGCTGCGGTGTTCAACTGAATAATTTCAGGAACTGGGACATTCGTATTCATTGTGGGGGAATATGTTCACAGGGCGACATGTGTCCTGTGGACTGAATTGGTTCCAGTCAGGGTGATTTGTCCGTTGACAAGTCGTCCGAATGGGTAGGCAGAGCATGTCAGTGTGTCGATGTCAGGCATCATCATCCGGCAGCCATCCGGGGATATTTACCTGCGAGGGCATGTCTGAGCCCCTCTGGGTCCTATTAGGATAAATGCAAGGTTACTTCGAACTGCGTGCTAGGATTCTGCAGGTCCCGTCACTGAAGAAGGACAGACACCCACCCTCGCGACCCGAAATGAGCGGCTCTTACCATTTAAAGACGACGAGACGACACCCCAACGCCTACCTGGCGATGTCCCAGTTGGGACACCTCGGACACAGAAGAAGGTTTGAACGAACTGACATCAGCCGCTACATCTCATTGACTACACCAGAGACGCCTGGCGTTTGAGGGTCTCTTCATTCTTGTCACGGGCGCATCTATCTGCCGGCTTCCGGCTTCCGGCTTCCGGCTTCCGGCTTCCGGCTTTCGGCCTGGGCAGACCATTCAGTGATGAAGCTCTTGAAGCGAACGCTCCGGTGTTCAAGGTGTTCAATGAAAGGAATCTCCCACCGGTCACGCCAATCCGGAAAGAGAAAAAAAAAGAGAGAGAAAAAGGAAACGAAAAGCCACATGCGCGTTCGAGGTATGGACGACCCGGATAGGCGGAAAAATATGAAGAAAAAAAGGAAAAAGCATGGAAACACAAACTGCACAGGGCTGGAGAGGTGATGTTGATGGGAGCGTAGCATTCTGCCAAGGGCCATTAGCTAAAGAGCCGGATTACCCAGGCGTGTGCACCCATGGTTCTGACATTCTCCGTGTGTGGCGATCAACAACTCGGGAGGTCGCCCTCCTTTCGTCCCTACCTCTTTGGTCCTATATCACCGTAGGCATCAAGAGTGATGAAAGTGGGAATATAAGGAAATATAATCATCGTCACCAACCAGGCAACCCGCTGTCTTTTGGAGCACGCCTCGTTGGTGTACGTTGTGCGTCCTCGTCTCGTTGGACCACATTGTCGTTGGAAGATGTCCGCGTGATGCACGATGGACGTAACGAGCTCCGAAGGGATGCAGGCTGGTGTTGGGTCATATTCGACTTTCCCGGAGGAAATGGATCCAGTGTGAGGAGGGAAGTGGAAGTAGACGTCCACGAGGTGGATCGTGAGATGGGGATCGATCTTATCGGAGATGCATTCGATTATTGGGGCTTCATCTAAGGTACCTTATTAAGGTACTAGACGGCGATGAAGGCTCGTGCTTGGCTCTTGGGCTGAGCCACATAGGCCGGCCCGATTAGCACAGAACAGTCGACATGTCCGGGGAGACCAGAGCCGTTTTTGATTGGTGTCGATTCATTGACGAGAGTGTGTGGGGTAGGTCATGTGACCTACCCTGGGATGGCTAGCTTATCTCTTCTATCCATGGTACGTAGCGTAGCTACTAGATTCTTCCGGAGACAGAGACATCTATACCATATATACGACGATTATCTTAATTTAGTGGTCAGTATAAGGGTCAACCATATTATTTTGGTTAAGCTTAAGTTATTCTCTTTTGCTTTTTGAAGAGATCGTCGTTATTATATTCCCTTTTAAGTGAAGAGAACTTTTCGATACCTGAATCACCTTCGTAATAACCGATTTCCCCGACCGGAGAAGACGGAAAAGGCCGATACGCAGAACCGTGCCGCGATATCGCGACGAGAAACCGATAAGAAGGAAACTTATATAATAGTAATAGAATGAATAGAAGAAATGACCTTAGGACGCGTTTCGAATTCTTCACGAACTTCTTCCGGCCGAAGAAGAGTTATAAGTCTAAATACGGGCACTATACTTCTTAGAGGAGGTCCCCAGGTACATAGTATACGAAAAAAGGAATCGTGGATACCTCTAGGAAACACTGGCATACTTAGATTATCTTCCTTAAGTAATAAGGAAATAAACAGGATATCGAAAAGAGAAACGACCGACCCGTTGAAGGCAGCACTTACGAGAAATCGAATAAAAGATAGAAGTTGTTCTTCACGATACAGGAGTATCCAGATAAGAATAAGAGGTATATCCGGATGTATTATGCATGGGGAAGGGTCGAGGGCCTAAGACTTAGGTCGAGACCTAGAATTACATGTATCAGCGATAACGCTAGTACCTTTTACGAGATAGGAGCTACTTAGAAGATAAAACTTAGTAAGCGGAAAAAGAAGAAAAAGGAAAGCGATAATTATAGCAGGAGTGCTAGGAAGGTTTAACGGTGCGAGTGATAACGTGGCCGCGTCTTACTACTATATAAATACAGCGGGATAGAGAATTACGTCTCTTAGAAAGAAATCTTCTCCGGGATAACGCATATATACCTGTTTCTAGATATAAAGACACGCAGAAAGATTTCCGATACCCTTTATTACTTAGAAAGATTATTTTAAAAGCACTATATTTTCACCCTATACTATTTAGACACACTCTTCCTGGGTTAAGAGCCTTTTAAGAGTTTCCGATATAATCTCTTAGTGTCCCGGCTTAGTAGCTAGACGCCTCGGAACGACCTCTATTATATTTCCCTATATCTAGGAATACAGATAGACCTATAGAAAACCCTTTCCCTACTTCCCCTATAAGCCCTTTTCTGATTATAGTGGCTTCTCTCCCGTTATTAACTAACTCAGAATAGGTGGATTTAGTTTATACTTCCTCCCCACTCGTAGATATAAGACCAGATACTCCTCTAACCATATAGACGCCTTTCCCAGGTACACAGTCAAACTATCTACTTCCTTCTCCCGGACTTATAATAGAGAATATGAATATAGCCGTGTCAAAGTTTTCGGGCACGGGATATTTATATCTCTCCTCCGAATTTATTAATAATATTGAGGATATAGTGAATATGATCTCGGAAAGGTTAGGAGTAGGATAAGAAGCTAAGGATAGGCAAAAGTTAAGACTTATACGTACTCACCTTGTTAGACGAGCGAAGAGCTAGTAGGAGAGTCTGGACATAATAGACCGGACGAACTAGAGTATCGCCAAGGCAAAGTTCTAGAAGGAATTTAAGAACGACGCGGCTAGATAGGATAGGCAGGCTATAGTCGAGGCGACGAACTTTAGGAGAAAGACAGGAGAATAGCTAGTAGATTATATAAAGCGAGCGATAAAGCTAAATATACAATTAATATCGAGAGAGATTCGTTATATCTTTATAGGTCGTTTCTACGAATATATAGCGGATAGTAAAGTGGATTCGCACTTAAGGGAGCGAGTGGAAGATAGATTAGCGGCTTCGGGCAAAACGAGTTATAGCGTGTTAAAGGATTCGGTCACCTTCGAGTAGGTGAAATGCACGATTATAGAGGTCGCGAAAGGATACTATGATATATCTGAGTTGCTGGATAAAGGACTCGAGGAGTCTATATCGAAGAATAAGGACTGGGAATTCTTTAAGAAATTCAGCGAAACTTAAGAAAGAATTATAGAAGCACTAGTATATAAGCTTAATGGCCTGTCCGCGTGATAAGCCTAGGGTAAGTTATTCGACCTAACTACACCGTCGGCCTTATCTTCTTCTAATAGGCCCCGCGGTAATAACCCCTTTTTTCCTTAGAATATAGATAAGATCTTCTACTTCGGTTACGGCGGATAGGGATACTTTCTCCGAGACTGCCCTAATAAAGGCTCTAGAGAGTAGTAGTAGTAGCGGAGAGATATATAGGAGGCGAGGAGAGATAAAATGCTTGCGGCTCGGGATAAGAAAATACGCGAGAAGAGAGCTCGGTAAGGTGAACCGAGACTAATATAGCCTGCTTAGCCGGGATAAATTCTAGTCTATCTTGTTCTCCAAAATATTAATTAGCTATACGAGCGTTTTTTAGGGGCCTAGGTGGAGGATCTTAGCGATTATGATAGCGCTAGGGGTTCCGTGTGCTACGCGATCTCCACTAATTAGCTCGCTGAAATCCCCCCGGCGGTATATACCCGTAGAGAGTAAGCCTACTCCGAGAATAAAGTCATAGCTATCCAGGGATATAAAGAAGACCTTAGATAATAGTACTCAGGTTTAGAGCGATACCCGGATATATAGGATATACTCGTTAATAAGAGATAGAGGGACTCGGACGAACCCGGTGGAGATATAAACGACCCGCGAGCTAAGCCTTAACGAATATATCCTCCCTCGCTATAACAGGATAGGGAATCCTTTT